TCTACATATACTAATCTTCATCCATCTCTGTGAAATTTCATGTAAATAAGCTTCACAGATGGGAATTCACCAGATTCTTCATCTATAAATTTGCTGAACCAGATTCTGCTCCTGGCTTTGAGCATTTAACTCATCCACAATCAGGCTCTAATCTCTGATATTTTCCCCAATATCTCAGCCTACACTCTGTGGTTTACATTTTACTTCACAACTCTTTAGGAGTATAATGTATGTGCATGGCAAACATACAGAAAATCAAAGACTTTGCATGGAGGTCTAAATATGTTGCTTCTGCTCAATAAATTTACAGCTGTCTTGCTGCCTTAGTTTTCTGACCAGTCTGAGACAGATCTGTGGACTACGACTGCAATATTTTGGGGATGTACAGAAACATCCCTTAGCAGTTCATAGCTTCTTATATGAACTGGGAAGTTCTTTGAGCTCACAATGCTTCTTCTGATTTTACTATTCTCACAGAAATTCTGTGTCCTTCTTGAAAAAATCGTTGACCTTCTCCTGTTCCCTTTTCCCACCAACAGCTTCTGCTTTCTCAGTGACATTCTCAAGTTTATATGTCTATTCACTGATACCTAGCCTATTTGTTGTGTCAGGTTTGCATTGTTAAGACTGACAATTATCTGTTTTACTTCTGAGAAGAGTGTGTTCATCATCTCACCTGAAAAAACGTTCCTTTCATACACAAAACTGTTGTCCAGTAGCACAGCAATCCTCTTGCTAGAAACCTTGTGATTAGAAGCTCAGATTTCTGACTAGATAGGTTCCCCACATCACCACAGAAAGCCCCATCTTCACCAGCTGATTCAGGTAATCATCTTGCCCCACTGCTTGAAAAACACGTGTATAAGGAATGAACTTAAACCCACTCTTCACATTTCTACTGCTTTATTTCCTTATGTAAAGTGGTTTCTAATACAGACTTTGCATGAAAGCCATTTCACTTCTCACTTGGAAAAGCCCATTAAGGAAAGATGTTTATGAGTAAACAAACATTAGCTGCTGAAAAAATGGTAGTAAATGGAAAAGCCAAAAGTAAATACATCTGAATTCAATAATGTTTTTAAGTCAGCTTTTAACGGTGTTTGCCCAGTGCTTTTACCTGTGTCAGCTACTCTTTACCATATGGCTGCATATCAAACCTGAGTGAAATATTACCAAGCACTGGCTATAAAACAGTATTTCAGAGCACCCTTGACAACTTGCTGAGGAAAACCAGGATATCTTGTTGAACCAGATGGCAATCATTGATCTGGGATGGTACTTTCAGATCATCAGAGTATAAGAAAAGTCAGACAATTACAAAAAATGTGGACCAAAGGTCACTTTGGGTTAGAAGGGACTTCTGAGGTAACTTTGTTGATCCTCATCCCCACAGAAAGAAAAGACAAGTTCGAAGTTAGATCTCTTCCTGTAAGAATGAGTCTTTACTGTACAGAAGTGGTTTGTAAAACCTCTCTCCATCACTATTTTGAGAAGTAGATATTGCTTTTGATGGCAAACAGCATGTTTCTCTCAGATGAAGGAAGACATTCTGTGAGAAAAGATGACTGCAGTATTTCTTGAGAAAGAATAGGGGGTTTTTGGCAATCCAAACCTCTCAAGGGCATTTCCAACTGCTCCCAGTAAGCCATAGTCAGAATCATCTAGTAGTTTTCTAGTATGCAAACTTAAGTCTTGTAAGGCATTTCAACTGGATATTAGAAATGCCTCTTCCACGTTGGTCTTTTTCCAGAGATATTAACGTTCTTGATGTTAACTATTGCTTTTAGCCATATTTGTGCTAATGAGAATCAAGTAAATGGAGTGGGTTTAGGCTGTTGTTGGTATGAAAGAGAACTTGGTACAATATAGCTAATCTTACTCTCTATGTTCCTCGGCGCAGCCCCAGCCGTCCCCAGAACGCAGGCATGCAGCGGCACGGCCCTGGCCAGCCCCTGGTGCCGGGCGCAGAAAGGAGTGAGAGAGGGGGAGCTTTGCCGACGTGGACTGTGCCCTCGTGGAATATGAGAGGGAGAGCCCCGGAACACACAGAGGAGATGAACAACTCTAAACCCGGGCAGATGGAGCTCGATTAGCCCTGTAAAGCCATCCATCTAAGAGAAGGTCACTCTAATTAAACCTACATCCTGAGGACCTCGCTGCCACCGTCCAAGCTCACTCGGCCCTGGCGGATGAACCTTAGGATTAAAGGGTGGGTTCAGTTCCGCGCATACGGCATCTCACCTAAAAAAATCCATTGTGCAGGCTCGAAGGCCTTACCCACATTTGCAAAACCAGGAGGCCTGGAGACACATCATCTATAACATTGCTGCTTCCTTTGAGAACGCACGCAGGATCACTCTCGAGAAGAAAAGACAACGCAGAAAGAATCGTGTCTTGCAGAATATACCACCTAAGGAGCCTTTCTGCTGTGCCTTTTGCAAACGGACGTGTCTATTTCGTATTGGCCTTATTAGCCCCCAGCGTGCTTGTAACAAATGTGGGTAGATCTTTCCCCAAATCTTCGTTCGCAAAGCCTAGCCATGACTCTCTATGCTCCTAATCACAGACCAAGCTGCAACTCACAGCTACCAAAATAACTGTGGTTGTAGAAAAGCTAGAATAAACCTACTGTAAGCCCTTAAATCTCTGGTAAATAGCAGAGGGGAAGAATGAGCAGGAAGACTAGGATGCCAGTCACTCTTGTGCTAAAATGGCAAATACATCATTCATAGTAAAGCAGGTCAGAGAATTGGAAAAGTAGTTTTTCCTTAGCCAGACCAGAAGAATTAAATACTTACAAACTACTTTTTCTCTGGTTGCTTGTGAAAAATTAATTAAAATTCAGTGAACTATGTTTTTGATGACTATAAACCACTGAGTAGATTTTTTGCACATGTTTTCATACAAATATTCCACCAAATTCAATTGAATCCATACTTTTTTTCAGGACGCTATTGTTTATGACATTTGCCCAGTTGAGACAAAGGTATGGAGATCAATAGAGAAGGTACATATCAGAAAAGATAACAGAAGCTTCCTATGCAGTGTATCCGCTATGCCACTCTAAAATGCCAGGTAAGAGTACAAGTAAGTTTTAAAGTCAAACCCTACAGATTATATTACATCTAAAAACACCTAATATTTTTATGGTCTAATAACATCAGCTCTTGACTCACTGTAAAGTTCAAAACTATGAAAAACAAAACAAAAATCCCCAAAAGCCCCAGCCAACCAATCAACCAAACAAAAACCCACCAAAGCAACAACAACAAAACCCGAACGCTTCAAACATTTTGCAGGCAGTTTATCTGTATCTGAAAACTCTTGCTTCAGCTGTTTCAAGATAGCAGCTTGTAGAACAGTATGTGAAGCAGAAAGAACAGAGACTCATCATATCATACACATATCATGTGCTCAATGGTTTACAGTAAAAAACAAGTCATGCATGAACTCATAGACACAGATAGACTGGCCAAGCTGCTGACAAGCTAACTTTCACATGCTCAGATGTGACTGTCATCCTCATCAGCATCCAGCAAGAGCTGGTGAAAATAGAAACTCGTGAGCTAAGATACATTTCTGGGTGGTTTTATGGTTATTACAGTAAATAGTGCGATTGTTCCTTTCACAATGAAATGGAGTGGAGAGGGCATAGGATTCTTGTGCAAAATTGAGCTTCCTCTGCCTAGGGATGCCAGGTGAAACTTTTCAGTGTACAGACCATTAAGAGGGAAAGTAAGGTAGTGTTTGCCATGCCTGCAAAATGGGCAGGAAGTACTGCCCACATTTGTTCTCCTCTGCCCCCACCAAGGCAACGTTTACTCAGCAGCATAAGATAACGACAGGATAACTTTCATTTTGTTAAGGAACAATGAAAGTCACTGTAATCTAATTGCAAAGACTGTTTATGTACTGTTTATGTTCATCCACATAAATTCAGTTTGAATTTCTTCCATTTTATGATTATGAGGAAAAAAGAAATAGAAAAGTGCAAAATTAAGTCCTTCCAGGAACACAATGGGTTAGATTTTCACTGTGGTTGACAGAAGGGGCTCATACTTCCCAGAGGAGTACGAATCTGGAAGAGAGAAAAATTGCTTGACTGTACACACTGACCCTTAAGTATTGCTAATTTGTGCAAGCCAGGGCAGTTCCCAAGCTGCTATTCTATCTTAAGCTAAGCAATGCTGTCTCTGATTCTTTGACATCTCCCTGATTTGCCATATCAGCAAGGACATAGGACATAGCAAGCCCAGTGCGGGATTTGTTTCAGCTGCCTCCAATGTCTACAAATGGGTATTTAAAGGTGCAATACGTAGATATTAAAGTAGAGGTGGTGGCAGAGAGAGATTAGTTTTTCTCTACCACAGGTAAAATCAACAGCAGACCTGCTTTTTAAAATCAGCTGTCCTGGTGAAACAATACGGTGTGAATGCTGCTGTTCTGGTCTCATAACAGCACTGTAGGTCCGCTTTGTGCTGGATGGAGTAAATAGCTGCACTGGAGAAGCAGTTCCCATCTAAATCTAGAGTAAACACTGTGCAGAAAACATTAACAGATAGCACTCTTCTAAGAGCAAGATAATGACAGAAGTAGTTTCCATGTGAACACCTTTCTTCAGTCCTGTTACATCTATCTTAGTAGAAAACGCAGCTCACCAAAGTCACTGCTCTTTCAAAACAATATGACAAATCTTACCAGTGCCCTTGCTTCACTATCTGGTGGCTATCTAAGATGCAATGTTGGGTGTTTTTTCAATCCTGGCATTCCAGTAATAGGAAGTAAAACAGCCTGTCATGGGAAAGACTCAACTTTTCCTCTGAGGAAAAATGAAATTAGTATTTAAAAATAACCAGTGCAGAAATCTGGCTGAGCTTCATTTTCACTTTTGCTTCCAAATTCCTCTTAAAGAAAATTCTGTTGAATAATCAGTTCAAATGTGAAACTTCTTATTGTCATGTAGCATAGAAACACAGTTCATGTTTTTTTACCTGACTTACTTACAGGGTTTTAAATAGAGAGTGCATTAAAATTCTCTGAAGTTGATTTACTGTTCTTACTGGGATTTTTTTTTTTTTAGTCTATCCTTTGATATAATTTCAACCTCTTATTGCTCTTGTGCTGTGAAATATCTACTACAAGTTGCCATGTTGGTGGGTACTTGTGGTAATTTCTAGTTCAATGTGTTAGAAAGTTTGGAAATGGGATATGGGCATTTAATGATGTCTCTCTAAAGATGACCTGCTTAGACATAAGATAACATTTACAATTTTTATTCAAATTCACACAAAATGTTTGAATCCAAGCACCATTCCTGAGACTGAAGCAGTTAATAAGGGCATTCTTAAACAAAAGTTCCTTGAGCAACAGTAAGTCCAAAAGTAAAGTGTATCAAAAGCACTCAGATGACCTCTTCACAGTGGTAAACCACATCTCATGACAGCATAATTCCCAGTAACTTCAAGATATCTGAAGAGGCATGGCTTTCCATTGCTGAAGTGCAAGTACATCCCCATGAGTTCACTGTTTATCCCAAGGCTAAAGTGCTGTAATTTCCTTTGAAGTCCCCAAAAACAGATACAAGAAGTGCAAATTATGGGATGTAAGATGAAGACTTTTCACAGAACCAAATCTCACTGTCTCTTGAAGCTGTGGCAGTTGACAAGTACAAAGCCTCAGTTTGAGTGTTAGAATCATCTCCTTAAAGAAAGAGAATGAAATAGTATTAGTTTAAAAATTTGCAATAATTTAAGAAAATAAATAACCTGATTTTAACAATTGAGTGGTAAAGAGTGAAAGCTCTGTCTTAATTGTATGCAAATTTTTCTGGGCTTTGCTGAAGTTGCAGTGGCTCCTTAAAACTGTCATAATTTACAAAGACATTTTGTTCCAGTCTTTTCTGAGGTAAGAACTATCTCTATCCATCTCTTTTCTGTAGTCCAAATTCTGAATTTTCTATTACATCAAAGTCATCACTGACTTTCAGCCATATAAATTAAATAACAAAACTGGAATCTGGTTAGAGAACATCCGTGGGAATGCTTATCAGTAAATCTGTGCATCTGATTAAAAGTGTGCAGAACTGGGACTTCAGTGATGAGGTCAAATGTCCTACATATTCAGTTCTGATACAGCTTGAGCTGTAAGTTAAAACTGATGACATTAACAAGCCTTGTTCCCGTAACCAGAGCCATGTGGGTCATTTCCAAGGCACTCTGGTGAACCATCTGTGGCTTTTATGTTTCAACTACCTACCTACTCGTCATGGAAAAAAGGTTCTTTCCAGTGTTTCTTAAAAATATGTGATGCTGAGAAATATAAATATTTGTCATCTGACTTACTGCATGTTGCACAAAGCTTTCGGTCATTAAAATGAAGAAGTAAAACAAAACCACAAAGAGCAGCCTCGTCTCCTTTAATTTCTTCATTTCACTAAGTGCACAGAGGAAGCTATGGCCTATATAGTAAAAAAATTCTGCAACAATAATACAAAAAGCCATGGGAAGCCAGGATATCCTCAGACAATATGCACTGGAATTATGCCTGGACATGCACCAATGCTGTCCTCCAGAATGCTGCTTGCTTTAAGCATGTGTTCATTTGTGCATGGCATAATGCCACTAAAGTTTCACACCATCACATCAGAGCCTTTGACCTGAGCAAGTGCTGATTTCTGAAAGGTGAAAGTGTCTTTCTGAAAGTGTCATTTTGACTGTAGTATCTACCGATGGCAGTGGATCGAACATGCAAACATGACAATCTGTGGTGAATTGGGAATCAGTGAATTCATGCCCTCTTTATCCAATCCCTAGGTTTCACCCACAAAAGTTATTTTTTAAGCTGATGACTTCTTGATGTATTGTTTTAGCAGTCAGAAACATGGGCAGATTCTCAAATAAATCCTGTCCTTGGAAAGGCCCTGACTTGCCTGTTTGTCCAAAAGCTGATATGTATTGTTTCTTCAGGCTGCTTGGCCAGCTGCATCACAATTTTGCTCCATTTTTGCTCACTGGGAGAAAATCATGCCTATACCTGGAGCACATTAGGCAGCCTGAAGGCTGACCTCAATAGGCTGTGTTAGGATCTGCTTGGACGACAAGGAATTACAGCTTAATCCAATACCTCTGTACCTAACACTGGCCACAGCCTCTCTCCTCAGAATGCATTAACCTGTCAGATCTTTTATTTATAGGTAACAAAAATGATTTATATAACTAGATGCTTTAAGAGCTTTCTTATCATATTGCTTTATAGTTTTTTATGGTGCTTTCTTTTTTTCAGTTCATTTTAGTACAGATGCATCCTGACAGTTTTTTACCTTCCTTTTGCAACGTAAAAATTCCTAGAGATGTCTAGGGAAGTCATATGCTCCTAAAATTAGAAGTAGCTCAGGACATGATATAATATTCCAGATAAATGAGGTATCATTTTATTTGTCATTAAGACCTGTAGCCTAATTCAAAATATAACAGACTATTACCACCAAAATCTTGATGCCTTCCAAAACAACCAGCTTTCCATGTGTATCCTACTCAGCCAAGAGTACTAGAACTCCAGTTAGTATACAGAGATGTATGGTGAGCTATGTGTGCAAGTTATTGGTATCTCAGTAAAAAGGAACCAACATCCATAAATTTTTACATTGCCTGTAAGAAAGTAAAAAACTTTAGATACTGTATTTTTAAAAAACTGAGGGAAAAATGAATTTAAACTCAAAACTACCCTCTATTTTGATGTAACATTATCAAGTTGCAATCTACATATTTTTTACAATTTTAGATGTAAGAAAGAAAAATCTGTAAGCATAAATACAAAAACCCCTAATGACTTACTGTTCTCATCTTTTGGGTTAGGGTTCAGTTTTCTTTTCCTGCCTGTTAAAGTAAATATATACAAATTTAGCTTAAACATTTCTAGGCCTGAAAGAAACAATACTATTTAAGTAAACTTTAGGTTAAACTGAGCTTTAAACATATTCAAGTTTGCTATTGTCATACCAAATACATAAATTTTTCTACACTTCTTTTCTTTCACAAATCTTGAGCCAAATTCTGAAGTCATAATGTTAAGACTTTCCTTTCATGACTATAAATACATTTGTCTAAGTTTACCGGAGTCCATTCATATGCAAGAAAATATTAAAATAATAGCGCATTTGCTTTATTGCTTTAGCACTACTGCACTTGCAAACAAGGAAAGAAACACTGTTTGTGATAGTCTAGGATGGCACACCATTTTAGTTACACAGCCTTAATGGAGATGGAAAATAAAAATTCTATGTCATATGCTGTAGCTACAATGTCTTCATAGCTATGAAGAAAACACCATTCAAGCTATGCTTTTACAGCCCTCCCTATCCAAGGCAAAGTTTGTTTTTACAGAATACTAGATAGTATTTACAGAATACTAGCTGGCCAGTTTAAAAAATGTATCTTTCCATGTACCTTGTCTCACATAGGTAACAAGATGAGGAAAACAAAACCCAACTCAAATGATCCAAGATCTCATTTTAGAACATCCTTGTCATCTAGAAATAAAATGTAACCAAAGTCACACAAGTTTGCCTAGTTACCAAAATTTCCTACATGTTGTTCACAGGAAAAATAAAGAAATTGTGAAATTTACTTCACTATCTGAAGTAAAATGTACCTTTTCTGGATTGTCCATTCTTGAATGATTTTCTCTTCTGAAATATTATTAGTGCAGAAAGAAGGACCGCTACAGTCACACATGTGGGGATGATAAATGACATCAGGGATTTTTGTCCACTGTACTGTGTACTCATTAAAGCTGTCAAAATCATGAAAGGAAAGTAAATTTATAACTTACAAAACAGGCATTGTTTATGAAGTTATTGGTTCTGTTTCTCCAGAATCTTGCTCTGACTGAACAAAAGATTCTTTAAAGTTATCAATGTAATGTTTTACACTCATTTTATGGGTACTTTATACTGCAATATTTTTGTAAAAAGCCTTACAAAAAAAGATTCAAATCTCTCATTTCTATGGCACGCAAGTGATCTCTACTGCAACTTATCTGTATCCCACTTCACAGACTCACAGAATCACAAAATAGGACAGGAAGGGATCTCTGGAGATCATGCAGTCCAACCCCCCTTGCCAAGGCAGGGTCACCTAGAGGAAGTGACACAGGAACACATCCAGGTGAGTTTGGATGTCTCCAGAGAGGGAGAATCTACAACCTCCCTGGGCAGCCAGTTCCAGTGCTCTGCCACCCTAAAGGTAAAGAAGTTCTTCCTCGTGCTGATGTGTATCTTGTTGTGTTTTAGTTTGTGGCTGTTACTCTGTGTTATGTCACTGGACACCATTGAAATGAGTCTGGCACCATAGTCTTGACACCCAGCTTTGAGATATTTTATGTGCATTGATGAGATCCCCTCTCACTCTTCTCTTCTCTTCTCTAGACTAAACAGGCCCAGCTCCCTCAATCTTTCCTCATAAAAGAGGTGCTCCAAACTCCAACTCAACTTTGCAGCCCTCCGCTGGACCCTCTCCAATAGCTCCTTGTCTATCTCGTCCTGAGGAACCCAGAACTGAACACACTCCAGATGTGGCCTCCCTAGCGCTGACTAGAGGGGAGGATCACCTCCCTCGACCTGCTGGCCACACTCTTCCCTATGATTCTCAGGATACCATTGTCCCTCCTGGCTGCAGGAGCACACTGCTGACTCATGGACAACTTGTCACCTACCAAGACTCCCAGGTCCTTCACAGCAGAGCTGCTCTCTTTGGGCAGCCCCCAACCTGTGCTGGTACTTGGGATTATTCCTCCCCAGGTGCACTTGCCTCTGTTGAACCTCATTAGGTTTCCCTCCGCCCAACTCTTCAGCCTACCAAGGTTCCACTGAATGGCAGTACAGCCTTCAGGTGTATCAGCCACTCCTCCCCCAGTTTAGTGTCATTAGTAAACTTGCCAAGGGTACATTCTATCCCTTCATCCAGGTCCTTGATAAACTAGCTGAATAAGACTGGATCCAGTACTGATCCCTGGGGAATGCCACTGACTCCAGGCTTTCAACTGGACTCCACTGATGACAACCCTCTGACCTCTGCCATTCAGCCAGTTCTTAATCCACCTCACTGTCCATTCACCTAACTTACATTTCCTGACCTACGAGGATGTTATGGGAGACATGTCAAGGTAGACAACAAGGTAAACCAATTAATTAGGAGTCTATCAAGGAAGACACCGGTGCAGCTGAAAAAATTCCCTCTGTACTGGCAGACAAATAAGGGGAGCTACCCTAAAATTAAAATTAGAATATATAGAATACAGACTGACTTGTTGAAGTGTAAACCAGCTGAGACTTCATAGACATCAATAATATTGACTTGTTTAGTTTCCTGAGCATCGATACTACACTGTTTTCTAGAACTGAATTTCAGTGATGGATTATAGAATATGATGTATGATGTATATGACCTATCCAGGTTAAAGGTGATACAAACCTGAAGTGGAAATATGAGCTGAAGTTTCTCCATTCAGTTCTTTATTCCAGAACACACAGCTGTAGTTCTCACTCATATTTGGTTTGAATGTCAGGATGCTGGTGACATTGTAAAGGCCATCTGCAGTCAGTGTATAGGTGGTATTTGCAGGTCCACTGAGGTTGAAGTTCTTCTCATTTTGCCAAAAAACCTCCGCCAGAGGAAAGCCTTCTGACTGGCACATAAAAACAAACATGTCTTCACCTGGTTTTCTCATTACTTGAGTGTTTATTCTCTTGTAGGATGCTGCATAAGAAGTTGTTGAGTGAAATTGTTGTATGCAACAATAGTAATTTTCCCACTTCACTTTTCTTCCTTCCCTTTAATGCCACATATTGTCTATGGCTGAATCTGAGGGAAACTTATTTAAAATGATGAAGGATGTTTTGTATAGCAATGCAGTATTCATTATTCAATCCTTACCACGCCTACATCAACAGAATGTACTCCACTACTTTATACAAGGCAGCTGCTGACACTAAATTTATTATATATCAATACAAAGGACACAAGTGAAGACTCATAGGACTCTATTTTCACTTTTTGAATATGCCACTTCAAGAAAAAGGCTGATTTTAATGTTTGTTTTACCACAGCTTATAAATAGTGTGATATTTTCATTATATTAGAACAAAATTGACTTTTCAGGGAAACCAATGGGAGTTTTAAGAATGACTGTGTCCATTTTTGCATTTGACAAAGGTTGTTATTTAGATGTCTGGGTAGGAAATTAATGCTGCCTTGTGTCACATGGACATGCGTGGGAAACACCAGAGGTCTTTCCAAGGACTGGTCTCTCGTGCTGTCCAGTAACATCTGCCTTTATTACTAATGTCCATTTGGCTTTGATGAACACAGAAAATCACGTGTCCTTGCTCTGGGAGCTGCAGCCACTTAGGGAATTCCCAAGCACATGGGTAGTTGCAGCAGTGCTCATAAGTGTATTAGAGCACCTCTGAGAAACTTCTGGGAATGGCCCAAGGTAGCCCAACAAGGCAGGAGATCAAATGAGAGTTGGGAGGTGGTGACACTGGAGAAGAGGGTGTGGAAAGAAGGAGGAAGGATGAAGGATGGATGGAGAAAAAATGCTGTCCCTCTCTGGCACAGGCTGCTCCTGGAGAAGCTCAGCTGGCCATTGAACCAAAGACTAGTCAGCAATAACACAACTGCTTTGGTTCAGCTGAGGGCTGAGCACAGGGTCTTCATGAGAGAATTAGCCACAAATTCCTTCAAAGTAATCAATTTCTACAAGCTTCTAGGAATTTAGTAGGCACATCTCAATGAATATATACTTACATTCAATTCAACCACTAACCTTTTACTTCCAAAGTAATATACTTGTAGTCCACACCCCGGTAGTTAATGAGACAAAGATATGATCCTGCATCTGTGATCTTCACACTGATGATCTCAAGAATAGCTCGTCCCAGCTTCAATTCACTGTGCAGAAGTGATGCTCTTCCTATGTAATCAGGATGTTGGGATGGAGGGACTGCCTTCCCATTGCGGAGTGTGTACACCTCTTTTGATTTCAACCAGCCTGGCCTTTTCTGCTCCCAAACAACAGTTAGGAGTTCTAGATTTACTGAGCCATTCACAGGGAATCTGCACTCCATGGTCACATTGTTCCCATACTCTGCAATGTAGAGCTGTTGAGGAACTTCAACTGTAAATAAAGCTACATGAAAAAAAGAAAACCGTTTCATTTTTTGTATTAAAATGTGTTCTGATTTTCCTTAAATTTGGGCGATACTGTGTCAGGTAGTCAGGCATATGGTTACCAGTTTGACTGAACACTTTAAGCATTTTTTGTTCATACTCACATTAACATTTTTAGTTAATATAATTACCATATAGTAATTATAGCAAATGATCTGTATTGGTTACAGAATCAGAAAGATAAGGAGAAAATGAGCAAGTTTTTTTTTCACATTTTATAACTAACTTCAAGCTCAGCCAGTGATTACACAGGAAGCACTTTTATGATACTGTGATGGTCTCTTATATGTCCTAAGATTCTAGTTAAAACGACAGTTAATTGTGGAAACAGTAAATTTAATTTCATTTCATCCTTTACAAAAAGAAATATCAATGTAGTTCCTGTGAAAGAGAGTTGCACTGGATAAGCATGTATGGCTTGGAAGATCTGCTATGTAGCAATTACAGTCTCCTACAAGCCTGAAACCATGTGAATATCATTCAATCCCATGTAATTTCTCAGATACATGCAACAGTATTACAGAAAATATATAAAAATAATCTTCACCATTTACCCAATATGAAATACATATTTTTATGAATAGTTTACAATTTTGAGGTGAAAAGACAACGCAGAAAGAATCGAGCCTTGCAGAATATACCATCTAAGGAGTCTTTCTGCTGTGCCTTTTGCAACCGGACTTGCCTCTCTCGTATTGGCCTTTTTAGCCACCAACGCGCTTGCAACAAACATGGGTAGAGCCCTTCCCAAATCTTCGTTCGCGAAGCCTAGCCATGATGATGACAATTTTAAGGTGTACTTGATAAAGCAGAGTTATTTACAATACATCATTCAAAATACGTTGTTACTACTTTCTGTATTGGATGTACTATATATTGGTAGATTTAATTCAGAAGCACTTGGAAGTATTGATTACAACATTCCAAAGAGAAGACCATGCAACTGTTTATGCATTCCTTTTATTGTATGTGTTTGTGAAATAGTTGCAGGGAAAACTTCAATTCCTCTTATAAATGTTTGTTTATTCACTCTAATACAACTGTAATGAGGGGAAAATTATATGAAAATATGAAAAAATACCAAGACCCTTCTGAGTTTTAGTCAAGCTGCTCCTCCTACAGGCATGCACAGGGGAACATAGGTGGTTTGACTTCACTTTGCCTCACACTGAGGTTGTTCTATTTCCCAGTGGGTGTGGGTTGCTTTGGTCATCCTCCCTCTCACAGCCATGGCTGCTGATGCTGGACACCTCAGCTGTCAATACGCAATACGTTAAAGAAGCTTGATTGTGGAAAGTGATGGACATCTGTCCTGTGCTCAGTTAGTGCCAGTGCCTTCTGTAAGACATTGGAAAGCAAAGGCTCCAGACACTACTGGCCATTCATGCAAGTATTGTCAGAGGTGCTGAAGCCCACATACTAAGGGCTGCATTGATTCTGCTGATGGAATTGAAAGACAGTTTCTCTCTCACCTGACACCATGGAGAGCTGTGTATCCAGCAACAGAATTGTGAGGATCTGAAACATTTTCTCAGGTGGACCTGAAACAAAAGTAGGATTGCATCAGAACTTGCAACAACTACCTTTTCCTGCTGAAGCAGATCAGAGCCATGCTAGCCTTCAAAACCCATCACATTGCTCATAAACAGCAAAAATAGAACCAAACACTAGGCTACCAGAAGAAACAAGGAAAATCCTGACTAAAGCAATTCATGCACACACACAGAGTATGAACCAATGGCAATGAACCAGTAGCAACAAGGGGAAATAAAATATTTCCACAACTTCACCCATGACGTTTTCAGAATCTGTAGCTTGCAGGCCGCCTTAAATAGTCTGAGAGGGCAATGCTTTTACATGTTTTACTGCTTGTGAATAATAAAAATCAATTGCAATTAACATCTCACATGCTGGAGAGCTCCATAAACATGCACAAGGGGATTTTTAAACTGTCTGCACTAACACCTGATCAGTTTACAAGACCACTAACCCTGATTTTGTTTCAACTTTGCTTTGCATACTTTTTTTCAGATTCTTATTGTCTGAATTCTTTAACCTAAAGACCAGCAGATACCTGGAACTTATTGTGAGGTAGTGGAAATCTCAGGATGGATAAATTACAGTTTGCTTCAGAATGGATTGGAATGAAGACTTACTGCTGCTAATTCTTTCACTTTGCACATATCAGTGCCTGATGTGTACAAAGTGCCTTGTGTTGCCGATAGTAAACCCACAGGCCTGGAATAATGCAAAAGGAGAAAGTACAGTTTTAGAGTGAGTATATTCCTGTTCCAGTAGCAAGCAAACTATTAACTATTTTTCATACTTTTATATACAGATCAACATAAGTAAAAGGAAAAAAAACAAATAAACAAAAACCAGAAGAAAAATTTCTAACAAAACTAATAAGATAATAGAAAAGAAGGAAGAACTACTTTGAATAAAGTGTGCTAACATACAGTATAACCTGAAAAAATAGTGAAGAATATCCAGAAATAAGATGTAAGGAAGTAAAGAAGAGAAGGAGCACTTTTAGACTTCCCCAGAGCTAGACTAACTGGAGGAGGGGTTTAATTTTACTGTGGTGTTCTTTTGTGGCTCAGCTTGAAACAGCCTTTTTCCAATCTTCTCAGGTGCTGCATTTCTCTCATTGTTTCTACCTTTGAGCTCTCAGTACCTCAGAAAGTGAGGCTCAAGTTTTAGAAAATTAACAGCCAAGATTATAGGATCTAGTTGATCAAGGGAAGGCAGTTGATGTAATCTTTTTGAATTCTTTTGGTATGTGTCTCGCAGTATCCTTTTGGACAAAATATCCAGGACACAACTGGATAAAGACATCATGAAGTGGATGAGCAACTGGCTCATGGGGCAAGCACAGAGGGTAATAGTGAATGGGGTAACATCAGACTGGTGACCTGTCACTAGTGGGGCTTCATCTTGGGCCCTGTGACCTTCAATATCTTCATAAATTATTTGGATGCAGGACTCGAAGGGATACTAAGCAAGTTTGAGGATGACACAAAACTCAGAGGAGCTGTTGACTCTCTCGAAGGCAGGGAGGCCCTGCAGAGAGACCTCGATAAGTTAGAGGACTGGGCAATCATGAACTGTATGAAGTTTAACCAGGGAAAGTGCTGGATTCTGCACCTGGAATGGGACAACCCTGGATGTCTGTACAGGCTGGGGAATGAGATGCTGGAAACATGTGCTGTGGAAAGGGACCCGGGGGTCCTGGTCAATGGCAAATTGAATCTGAGTCAGCAGTGCCCTGGAGCCAGGAGGGCCAAGCATGTCCTGGGGGCATCAAGCAAAGCATCGCCAGCCGGTCGAGGGAGGGGATTGTCCCGCTCTGCTCTGCACTGATGCAGTGTCACCTTGAGTATTGTGTGCAGTTTGGGACACCACAATGTAAGGAATATATTAAGCTCTTAGAGAACCTTCAAAGGAGGACAATAAAGATGGTGAAAGGCCTTTAGAGGAAGCTGTATGAAGAGCAGCTGAGGTCACTTGGTGTGTTCACCCTGGAGAAGAGGAGACTGAGGGGAGACCTCGTTGCAGTTTACAACTTGCTCATGAGGGGAGGAAGAGGGGCAGGCACTGATCTCTTCTCTGTGGTGACCAGGGACAGAACCCAAGGGAAAGGCCTGAAATTGTGTCAGGGGAGGTCTAGGTTGGCTATTAGAAAAAAGTTCTTCCCCCAGAGGGTGGTTGGGCACTAGAACAGGCTCATCAAGGAAATGGTCACAGCACCAGACGTGTCTGAATTCAAGAAGCATTTGGACAATGCTCTCAGGCACATGGTGGGACTCTTGGTTATGGTCATGTGCAGGGCCAGGAGTTCGACTTGATGACCTTGTGGGTCCCTTCCTACTCAGCATATTCAGTGATCCTGTAACTTTTTTGGGAAATTTAGACGTAGTCATTTGATGTCACAGATAAAGGTGGATATGCAAACTACCATAAGCAGACTTATTACTTGTAAATGAACGCTAGTTACTTTTATCAGAGGACTGACTGAGTTGCCACTACTTAATGTGTGATGAATGGTAATTACTTTAGCTGTATGAGAAAGGAGCTAATAAACATTATCAGTGTCAGTATCTCAATTTTCTGGATGCAGAAGACTCTACTGCCCTGATAGCCACGTTAAATTTCACTCATGGAGCCACCATAGGAAACTATGTTTCACACTTAATACTATAAAGAAATTTACCATCCTCAGTCTCCTGCTATGCTCACTTCTCTATACAGCTTACCTAGAAGCAGGTAGACATAGTGGAAAGAACTGAGTGAAGAACGAAACAATATTTCACATCAATATTTAGATCCCTGAATTAGCCTTATGTGAGACATTTGAGGTAATCCACTCCCTTTTTATAGCTTGAAGTACATTGAGAATGTAGAGTGTGTTTATTTCATAATGTAGAGCATGGGACTTTTTTAAATATACCTATTACTGAGGGTAAAATGATAGAACAAAAATGAGGGGAAGCATAATTAAAGCCCCAGCAGATAGAAATCATAGCTATTAAATATCAAGTAAATCTTGCCTGACCAGATGGATTAGCTTGAGAAGAGCATTGCACATAACATAAATAAATAAAAGAACCCAAATGCAAAAACATTTTCCCTTGTGATACCAAAAGCAGAGTCATGAGATGCTTATGGGGATCAGAAGAGATCTGTATTAGAATAATCAAGGATCTATTAGCATGGATCTCTATTAGAAGGATAAAGGATCTGTCAGCAAGGATCTGTGTTAGAAGACATCCTTCTTTATTTCCACGATCTCACTAGCAGACATCAATCTGTTTTGCAACCTCAATGCAATCTACCCATGCACTTAATCATGTGACTCTGCTGCCTGACACACATACATAGAGAAATCTGCACCAGGGTCTGGAAGGTGATTTCTTCTGAGCTTGCACTACCAAACCTTCATGCTGTTACAGAATAGCCCCTGTTTTCTCTCTGTTTTTTAAAACGTATGGCATGCCCAGCTATGCAATAGTCCTTGTACACAACTATCCTAACAAGCTTATGCACAGCACATATTTTTTTTTCCTTTAATCAAAAGGCCATTTCTAAAGCATTTTCATCAATTTCATAGGGATATAACAAAGGAATGCTGCAGTATAAAATCAGCACTTAATGGTTCTGGCAGCAAAGTAAGGAATTGAAAATACATATCTGACAGCATGAAGAAGTTGCAGCAACAATTCAGTTGCTGAAGTTTCAACAGCAATTCAGATCTGGCCAGTAAATTAATTTCTCAGACCAACTTGCAGAAGAAAAAGCAAGTTTTCACACAGTGCTGTGTGATTATGAAAATCAAGCTGAAAAAACTGTGAGGGTTGAGGTGATGAAAAGCATCACATCAACATCTAAAAATCATCATGGCTTTTTATGAGTTGTAATAGCTTCAGTGAAGATGTGGGGCCCAAGACTAATAATTTGAATGGGAACAAAGAAAACAAGAGTATGACTATGAATGGGAGAAAGGAGGAATATAATTTTCTCTCTTTATACAGTTTTTTTTGGTTTACTGGAAATACTAAGTTGAAACCCATACTTGACTTTCACTGGCCCACAAGGAACATATTCTGGTAAGTTTTCTTAGTGAATGATGAGTGAAATCTAGATGGCAATGATAAAAAATTGCTAAAGTTCTGCCAAAGAGCTGTTTTAGAAGGATCAAGGAGCCGTTAGCATAATATCTGCTAACATATATAATAGCATGATATATGCTAATGTGATATATTAGCATAATAGCACCAAAGCTCAAAACCACACAATGTATTGTTTTCCTGGTTTTGATTCAGCTGATCATGCCTGTGACTTTAGTCCTGACCCCAGCTCACATACCCACAGAGATTATAACACTCATCTCCAGAAAAAAGTAATTTTTGGTTAGTGGAATGCCTCACTCCACATAAAATCTCAAGTGGTTGGTTGCCCAAAATCCTTCTGGTAAGGAGTAAGAAGGATATTTCTTGTTCCCTCAGAAAATTTAGACTCAGCATTCCCATTTCAAATTGCACAAGCTGTATGCTCCAGGCAAAAATATTGTTCAATTTTCAACATAATGTATAGACTTCATTCAATTCTACAGACACAGGTGAAGAGTTGTTCATCCTGACAGACCTGTATTTTATGAGGATGCTCTCAGGAACTGAAATTGGTAGTAAAATGGGAACATCAAACTCCTATATGCTTAAACCATAAAGCTCTTGAGCAAAAGCTGGGATAGTTCTTTTAAGTAGCTGTGCTTTGTGTAAATCTCTTTGGTATATGTTTATTGTTATGGCTACTGGATCTTATTTTCAGGGAAGACTCTGAAGTACATGTGAACTACAGTGAGTTGTCGAGTGAGGTAGGCACTAGTCTATCATGGTCATAAGCATTAGGACTGATTTGGCCTCAGTTAGGGAAAACTGTCACCATGTTGATAAATTAAGTTTACAAGAAGTTTTGTAAAGCAAAGGAACATAAAGATCACAGAATATTTTGCAACCTACTCTTAATAATAAAGATTGAAAGCCGTATCTGAATAATGTAAATTAAATTCTATTCCTTTGATCCATGTATCCTGAAATATCATAATGCTTTTCTTAAATAAAAGGAGCATCTTAGTATAAGACCCTCTAGAACCACCTTTGCTTAGTAGCCTTGCTATAATTGTCCCTGCTAATTGCAGGGGGATTGGAATAATTGGCTCTTAAAGGTTCTTTCCAGCCCAAATCATTCTATGGTTCTACAATTGTTCCCAACACAAGAATAACAAAGGATCATATGCTGAACAAATCTTTATGCTGTCCACCAAACAAACACAACCAGAAGCACAGTCAGTGACTCAGGGACCTTCTAGTCTAGCAAATCATGGAAAACCCTTTCCTGGAAACATCATTTCAGCTATTAAAATATTTGTATTCCAGCAAATGGATAATTAAGAACAGTGAATTCATTTGGCATTCACATAATGAAACTTAGCAGCATTAAGCAAGGAGGGTTTGTAGACCAATAACTTCCACTAGAATAATCAGAACTGCTGGAAAAGCTAAACAAGCTTTCAAGCCCATCAAATTTTCTCCAGGTTTAAAGCAGAAGACAAATGAACACAGAAGTTCACAATAATTGCTCAGATTTCACTCTGAAAGAACAAAAGATTAAAGGACTAACGAAAGGGGTTTTGGTTCTTTTAAAGTTTAATGGGTATGGGTATTTTAGACAGACCCTTGTTTGTATTGTATTTCCCTGCAGACCAAGTTATCCCATTGACAGCACTTATAACATGATCATGCTCAATTTTGGCTGGTATAACACAGGTGTTCTTACAAAATTACTGGAAGGAACCAGGGACATTGCACTCCACAACTCCCACTGGGAGGAGGATGGTAATGTCACTAGGCTGGCCAGGTGGCCTGTGTCCACCTCCACATGAACTGTCAAGTACACTTTAGCTAACAAGGTATTGCAAGTGGTCTGAAAGACTGATAAGGAATCCTTAGCTAGCAGACTAGATTTGAAACACCAATATTGCAAATTATTTGTTCATTCCTACATTCAAAATTTTTGCTCTACTGCTGATATACTCTGTAACATTACAGAGATCAGCTCAGGTCACTCTTTTCCTATTCCCTCTCCTTCTAGGGTCTTTGTCTTTTATACTGCAAAGGTAGAACCTGTAGAAAACACAGCACAGTGCCCTCTGGAAATATTCCAAAATAACAAACTCATCCGAATACCAGAAGCAATCCAGCTCCGTTAACATGGCATCCTACTTGGCTCCATTTGACTCTTTCTGCATGAAACGGAGTTTTATGTTGACTTAGAAAAGAGAGTATCTTGTCATACACCTATGTACACTGCAAAAGATTGAGGGGTCCTAGTCACTGTTTGTTTTGTCTTTCTCTGTTACTGAAACTCCCTTTTCTTCTGTGCATCTGCAATTTAAAAAGCTTCCTTCCAACACTATCACATGTGCAAAAAGGCACAACATTTTTGACATCCTCATGGATCCAGTTCTAAAAAACAAAAAAAAAGTGGAAAAAAAAATCCTAGGTCAAAAAATAAACCACAAAAAAGCAGCATTAGATCCTCATACAAACTACATCTGTTCTATATCTCATCATCAGAAAGAAGGTACTTTGTGTCCATGAGGAATTTCATACAAAAACCTAACCATGCATATTAAAATTTGTTCAAAGTCTATTTCTCATGCCCATCTCAGTAAATTCTGTGGACATAGTCTTTTGCCCTCATTCCCTCCAACCCACTTCATCCACATACCTTCTCATCTGCTGTTTTTCCTCTGCTTTTCCACACTTGTTGCAGTGTCTCATTGCCCACATCACTCACAGTCAATTTATTGTTGGGACCATTGCTTTGCTTCTGATGCTCACCTATGACAGCCTATTTGCCTCATTTCAGTCTGCTCTCCATCTCACTTCGTCTTTCAAGTGAAGAGATAATTTCTCACATCCTCATTAGCTCACACCTTCTGTGAATTCTCACTTTCACTACATTGTTTAACTGTCACCTGTTATATCTTTTCCACTGTTACTTTTTTTTGTTCAAAAATACAATCATTGTCAAATACAATAATTCCAATACAACCTCAAAAAATACTTTTTTTCCATAGATACTAGGATAGGATTGGGATGAAATTTTGTTACAGAAAACATTATCACATTTAAAATGCATCTGTGTATTCTACGGAACACACACCTTTCAGCTCTTAGCAGCAGCACTGAACAGTACAGGCTAACACTGTGACACGATATACTGCAAATTTTCCTTAATTTCTTCAACTTCTACAGAAAGAAAGACTTTTCAGAGAGGCACAAGAAATTCTCCTCTTCATAGCCTGTGCTCCTCTTGGGATGCAGAAGGTGAAAATCTGCAGACTAGCTGTACAATCAAAACAACCCACTGCCTGCAGGTAGTGGATTAAAAACAACCAAAAGAAAGTAAACAGGAACACAAAGATATAAATATATACAGAGTTTTTTTCTCCGTTTGACTCTTCCCTGAAATTCAGAACAAAATATTTGCTGACAGCTACATCCTGGTGCATAAGCTGAAGAGTTCAGCAGCACTGCTTATGCATTTGTCTGTGACAGAAGATTGAATTGCAAGACAAGTTCAGCTTCTAAAACTAGGTTTTAGTTGCATTGAAGTTGTATGGACCTGTGTTTCAGGATCTGGGACTTAGCTATCTCTGGTTCAGAATCAGTCTACACCCCAGAAACAACAGGAAAATTACTTAATTTAAGCAAATCTTAAGAAACTAGGAAAAAAATCTGCAAGCCATTAGTTAGAAATACATTAAATATCAATCTGCATTTTATCATTGTTATACTCACATCAGATCTTTATGCAGTCATTGGAGAATCCAGTTCATGCAGTTAAGATTTTCAAAGTTATACAAAGTATCTCTATCCTATCTGCACAATAGCAGAAACCACCCTAGTCTCATGACCAGTGCGTATGCAACACGCACTGACAGCACAGCTTGTAGGCTGATCTTATTCATGCTTCATGGCACAAAACAACTGACTTTTAAAAGGAAATCACCAAGTTTGTTAGGATGTTGTTAGCAGTTCCAGTTTCATTTTGATGTTTCATGCTGAATATACTCTGAGGTCAGTTCTCTGCATTGCTGAGAATTCGTATCCAAAAAAATTATACAAAGCATTCTATAAAATTTATATGCTCAAATTCTGCTTTTAATTACACTCATAACTTTTTGCTGGGTTTATACCTCTTTAGAGAAGTATACAGCCTTGGCATGTGAACTTGCATTTACTAGGACTGTTCTGCATTCATGAAACTATCAAGGTACATATTCTTAGTTTTCATCAGACTAATTTTACAAGAATTCCTCTAGTGATTACCCAGCATTTGCAGCACATATTTTGTGTTTTCATATATATTGATATTATTACAAAACAAAACAAAACAAAACAAGAGGATAATCAAACACTCCAATGAGGCTGTGAATCTCTGTCCTTATCTTACAAATATATCAAACTTGACAGCACAAAGCCTGAGCATTTGGATTTAAGCTGGCACCACTTTGAGTGTGAGGTTGGACTCAGTGACTGACAGATCTTCTTTCCAACATAAAAGTTTCTCTTCTATTAAACAGCCTTATCAAGGGATGTATCTGTTCATTTTTCATCACTCTATCTTTTAATTTGTGATGACATCATGATTGGGTGACATAAAAGAGGATACAAAGTCTTCCTAGGTTTCTTGATGCATTGGTGCTACAGGTCAGACACACATACTCTTTTGTCTCCAGTTAGCTCCTTATCACTTGGGAGAATTGTGTTCTACCTCCACACAAATAATGATTGTGGCTTTAGTCCTGTGAATCCTGTCTGGTTTGGAATGATGTGTGATGATTGCCTGCCTCACAGTTCCAGACTGAGTCAGACTGTGAAATCATGTCTACTGCTGCCTAGTGCACCTTTTTTTCCTTAGTATACTTACCCCGTGTAGCCCTGTCACATAAAGTAACTCCTCAGTAGTGTCCCCTTTCCCCAGAAAAGCTCCTATGACCTCTTTGGCAGCTGTTAGGAGTCAAGGATTTGGATGACTGGACACTTGAAGAGGAGAGAAAAGCCCACAAGATTAGGGTTGAGGTTGATCTATGATTTACAATTAAAATCAAGTTAGGCCTTATGATGGCCTAATACTTTCAGTAAAAGCAAAAGGGAAAAGATGGCAAAAAACCTGAGATCTGTGCTCTTTTTGTAAGTATGGGAGAGCAGGGGAATTGAATCTTCCTAAGGCTCTTCTTCCTGGCCGGTGATTGCCTGCCTACTGTTTCTCTTAACTCCATCTTCACCCTCCACCTGCTGCCAATTCTCAAAGGCCTTGTCTGTTTTTTGGCCTTCTACAAGACAAATAGCCTATTTAGGGAGAAGTATTTATGCAAACACACCTTTCAATTAAGAACTTTTTTAAAAGGATTTATTAATGGTAAAAATGAAGAAATAAAGAAAAAAAAATACAGGATGTGTAGGTCATGCAGATCCCTTGAGCGTTCTGAGGTAGTAAAGGCTCTGCCGGAGCCACTGTAAAAGACGGATATCCCAGCTCAAGTCATGGTGCTTCCTAGTAAATGTTGTTGCAGAATACCAGAGTCCTACCATGTGACACTCTCTGCATATAGACACCTTGTTTTGTAGATTGCATTGTTTTGTTCCTTCTCTTTTAATTAGCCCTTATCTTGCCTACTCCCTCCACAACTTCCTCACTTGTTTAATGAGGAATCTCTACCTCCCCTGCATCCAAGTGTCTAGTTTCTCAGAAGTTACTATGACTTCTTTCAAAAGGAAAACAAAAGTGTTCCTTGTTCTCTTCCCACCTGACAGAAGAGGAACCCCAAAGTTGCTTCACAATCACCATCACTGCCTTTTACTCATTCTAAGGCAATACAAGAGGTTTTCTTCATGGGTTCCCATTTTGGGATAGGGAGAAAGCTCAGTGCAATTGCCCAAGAGTCAGTGACCCACCTTGGGCACATCATGAACCCAGCAGTATCTCACAGGTACTTGACTGGGATAATATTTGCAGGACCAGAGAAATATAGAGAGGAAGACTGGGAATTAGGGGGAAGATGCTGTAGAACTAGAAGTCCTACTGCTAACATCTGCAAAAGTAAGAATTCTAGTGTTAATATCTCTGCTATTTTGCTGGTTAGCCTATACTAATGATGCACCATTGGTATGTGTCCTTCAAGGATGTTAAGGTTACTTTTTTGGCCGAAGGGAAAAGGGACACACATCCTGCTGGTTCTGCTCCGTGAAGAGCCCTGCAAGTCAACAGCAATGTTTCTGTTTTATTAATTATTGGTTGTTTAATGTAATTGTTATTAGCAAACGCATTCATATTCTACAAAATAAGGTGCCACATCACAAAACAGGCCACCAGACTGGTTCATAGTTACATTTTTCAAATGAATGAGTCCTGAACTCAAATATCAATAAGCCAATTTAGATTGTGCATATGAACCAGGCTTTTATGAGCACTTTTGGAAATCTAATAATGCCTGGCCATTAGGAAGCAAAATGCAGCTTACTGAAGCTAGGCCTAGTCTAGCTTCCTGCTGGATGTTATTTTCCGGATATCCAGAAACACTGAAGTAGCACACAAACATTTTTAACTGAAGGAAAAAATACTATTACACATAAAGTGCTTAACTACATTTTTAGGTTAGGATAGGAAGGATTTCCTCTTATCTAGTTCTTGTGACATACATTTGTTGTACTTTCACCTAGGTATATATTCTCCCTCTGTCATGAGTGGAAAATAACTGAGCTGAAAGCACTCATGGCATTGGAGGATAAACATGTGGGCCTGTCTCCCCATATTCATAATAACGAAGCCAAGGGACTTGGCTTATCCTAGAAGCTTAATTTGGAAAGTTACTAAAATTAGATTAGACAAGTTCTGGTTCATATTTCAGAGAAGTATAAAGTACAGCTTATTTAGAGAGGACAGCTCTTTTCATCTTATCTGCTATTCACCACACATCCTGCTCTTCTAGGGAAGGAGCAAAATTTCACACTTCCTATCAACCACTCAGGAATTCAACCACTGTTATTTTAGATGTTGGGGTTTAGCTACAGAATTTAAAACTATATTTTTGTCCCCTCATTTCATTATATTACTCATCTGATATACAGCATTTTCAACAGTAACTTACCCTTTCTCCTGCTGGGAAAAGAGAAATGCAACAGTTCTTTTTGTTTGGTGGAGTTTGATAAAGACATAAAATTCAGTTCCATGACACTAAGCATGCACTAACAGCACTTCTTTGCAAAGGCTGATAATAACTAAAAGGAGCAGACTCCTACTTTATTATGCACACAGCTATTGCAATCTCAAAGACGAAGTAGAAAATTAAGGGGTTAATTGTCTGGAAGGGAAATCACTTATGTGGTGATGTGATTCTATATTTGTGTGTTGAGGAGAGTCAGTTCTTTGTCTACAAATGGCCCTGATATTTCCAAAACCATTTTTGTACTCTGTAGATAATTGAAAATTGGCTATCACCTTCAGTGACACCCAGACTACGGCCTCAAGAAGTGTGTTGGGAAACACACACAGGAGGGGATGTTCAATGTCAAGAATTAGTATCAGAATATGCAAGCTCTGCAATGAATTAAGGAAATTACTTTATAGTAATTGTTTTACTTAACTAGGATCTACCAACTCCATTATGGTTATATGACACATTTTTCTATCATATTATATATCCTACAGCTCGCTGAGATATACTAAACACAACCTTACATTAGCTTGATTGAATAGTGCCAGCAGTGAAACCCTGGGCTGAGGACTGCATTCACATTCCTAGGACTGCACAACAAACTTATTTTAAACAGAAAAATAATAGCCAAATCCAATGAGATTCCAGTTCTCCACCATCTCTTCTTTGTGGGAGCCATCAGTGGGATGACACAGGTGTAGACACTCTTCTACACTCAAATCTTGCATTTTTATTTTCCCAGAAAAAGTGCAAGAGTGCTTACTCTACGTACTTACAAGTCAAGGAGAGCAGGGAAAAACACAAGAAAAACAAAACTTGTTTTATTAAAAAAAATATAATTGTGAATATCATTGCAATAAATAATTTTCACCTCTGTATGACCACCCCAAAAAAGCTATGTATCTAGCAAAATGTAACATAACCATAACTTAAGAAATGGGATCCAGGAGCATGTTTCCTCTGCATTTCTGAAGTAATCACATATATCACATGTATTTCATGTCCTAGAAGTAAGAAGGTTTTCTTTCTTCTATTCCCAAGATGAAGAAAAAAGCCTCCAAAACAAGAGCTCTTCTTTCTGAATGTCTAAACAGTTGCATTATCCCCAAATTGTAAATCAGGAAAGTAATGAGCAGTAACCAAGCAGTGCCAGATATATTACAGGGAAATTTAATTACCAAAACACTTTTAAGAAGAAGAGACCAAAAAGCTCAGTATTATTTAATTTCTAAACCATAGTTGCCAAGAGGGTTACAGCACTTTTTTAGGCTTAGCTATGAGTAATCTGGTATTTTAAGGACAGAAAATGCCCTGAATGTATGGCATCTTGTCTTGTTATACCATTATCTTTTATGAGGATCAAAGTATTGAAAAAATTCTTTAAAAGCTGGAAAAAAAAATGTCTGCAGGAAATTGAGAGCTCAGGTGAGGAAGGAAAAAAAATGTCCAGAAGATGACCTATCAAGAACTAGCTATGAAGTTCATGATGGTCATAGACCTAAAGTGCTTTACCTTAAAGACATTTTCAATAAAATGTGTCTTGGAAAAACACATTTGCCTAAACTTGTAAGGTAGAAACTTGGATATTTAAATAAATACCTCAATATCTAGTCCCATATACAGAAGCCTGAATGCAAGGACTTTTTATGTTATAATTATTTTAACTTCATTGCATTTTTTCCCAAGTTACAACAATTAGAAGATTGCCATCACACAATAAAAACAAAAAATTAATATCCCCTTCAATAGATAGAACACAGAATATCTGAGCTGTCAAATCTTCACCACAGAGGAAAAAAATCTTCCCCTGCTTTCTCTATCTAGGTCTTCTCAATTTGCATATCTGTAAAAGGAAGAATTATATGAAATAAATAACAAATTACTGAATGATGAAGTCATAAAACAATTCATGGGCTTGGGCCTCTTTCCTAGAGTTTGGAGGCACCAAAAAAATGTCCTTCATTGTCCAAATTAAAGACCTAAATGAAATTAATTAAAAGATCAAACAGAAGAAGAAGATAATCGTGGGAGGAAAGGAAGTGGTGGGAAGTGCTCTTTAGCAAATACAGTGAAATTGCTATTGCTTAGGTTCCCCTGTCTTTTAAAAGCTTTTTAAATTCTTTCAAATGCATTCAGTGCTTTATCTCTCAATATCAGTAGCAGCATATACCTGGGTCCTAACTCTTTGACTTGGAGATCCATACCTGCAGGACCCGCAGGCTTATCTGTAAGTTTACTGCAGTGAAGTAGCAGGGAAGGATTTGGGATGTAATTAATGCAAGTGCTTTAGAAATCAGCAAGAACATAAAAGAAAAACCTCAATAATTTCACTCTAATAATTTCCATACCACAGTATGTTTCAGAGATTTCAGAAATTTGGTCATACATTTTCTTGCTTTGCCAAGACATATCTCACATTTTGAGACTTGCTCAAGTGGCTGTGACAGGTTACTGTCTCCTTCCCCACTGTGTGTGAACAACTGTTTCTATAGCAAAAGTGTGAACCAGAAAAATAGACTGATTTTGGTTATAACTCCACATCACATTTTCCTTTGTATATCCTTTCTATTTTAAAAACCAGATTCATTATTTGATGTAACAAACAGTACACAATGAGTTATGACAGCGAGTTTGTAGGACAGAGAATGGGAGGTTATATTTCTCTTGAAGGCTCTGTCTTTTGAAACAAGGGGGTAAATAAATCAGCCATGAATCAAGACTCAAATGATCACGGATGATTTATGCTGTGTATAATTTGCTATTTTTTGCCTTTGTCATTTATACTTACATTTCAGCTCTCTGTCTTCAAAAGAAGCATCTCTGCAGTCATGTGTATCCTTGTCTTTTGACAGATCTTTAAGCAAATAACATACAGACAGTGAGCATAGCTTAAACTTTTCAGATAGTGATAAATCTTTGCTAAAACTGCCATCTCAGGCTGCCCAGGAATTAAGTGACTTAAATGCAGAGCAGGAGAACAGATTAACACCAAAAGCTGTGTACTCTCAGGAGAGGTTTTCTTAGGAAAAACCCAAACTGCCAGTATGAATTAATTTTCACACAGCAGTCTAATTTGAGGTGGTCTCCAAATAAAAGCATACAACAAATTAAAAATAAATTAACCAATAGCCATCATGAGAGACAACAAAATTATTTTAATCTCTTTTCTCCCACTGTAATCTCTTCACTCTTTCCTTCATTTCTCACTGTCACGGTGCTACCAGCATTTCACTGAGCTTCACTCATAAATAGCACCAGTATCCCAACATGAGGAAAAAGAAACTGTTAGGGAAGCTAAAGCTTTTTCTGGTGTTTCTCTCAACAGGGCCAAACCCTCTGTCATGAATGTTGTGACAAAGACCTTCAAATGCACACTATAATACTGCAGAAAACACAGGACCATGCCAACATGGTTCAAATTGCAGACAGGGTTTGCACATCAGGATGTGACACCATCCTGAGATATAAGTTCCAGGGAGCATGTCCCATCCTATTGCAGACTTTCCAAAACAGTATACTGTTCTGTCCTTTTCTTGTTCATATCAGGAGTGCATCTGCTCCTGGAATAAGTATGCTTTTCTTTTACTTTTTCCTTTCAATAAGCTGACACAGTAACAAAAAGCCACTCTTCACTTGTAACTTATCATTGTTACATAAATAGTAGAAAAGCAAAATCAAAGTTGAATTTAATTATCCATTTGGTTGTCACCATTACAAAGTACATTCTTAAGCAATTATTTCCACAAGAATCACACTGAGACAGATTTATGCCATATGTACATACTTGTTATTGATGAACTCAACACAGGTGTTCTGTTGTCTTTATTTGCTCTACCTGAAAGAAAATAAAAGAGAAAAAAATTCAATAAGAAAACAAAATACTTACTTTAGATCTAATGGAGGGCTTAAGCACAGTGGTGGGAGGGGCACATTTAACACAGTGTAATCATTGTTTCTCAAAACACTAAATTTCTTCAAAGACTTTGAAATAAATTCTTTAGTGGCCCCGGTCTGTCCATTTCCTTTCCTAATTCCTAAACCAGAACTCCATTGATTCTATACATTTACATCACTGGAAAATACTTGTTCAAAACCTAGCAAGGGAATTAATCAAGTGACACAAAGCCTGAGAGGGAATATTCCCTCTTGTGAAAAAATCTTTCATACTTAACACCTTGGACATATAGCCTCCTATGCAGTCCACAGTTTTTACAGTATTTTGACCAGAATAAAGACATATGCAGAATTCCTAACAATTGGATCACTTGAAAAACCACTCACAATTCAATGAAATTTTTCAGAGAATGCAGGGGAAAAAACCCTAAAAAACCTCCAGTACCCTGCCTGCTAACAGCATTCTGATCCCCAGTCAAAAGGGGGGACCCAGAATAGGAAACTTCCATTTTCAGTGGGTGAATAAACTGCACTTCAAAGTTTGAATAAATTAGACATTAATCTTACTGCTCTACATCATCTATAAGAAAAATTAACAGGACAAGTGGTTTGTGAAAAGCTGATAACCTGTTCCACTCTGTTAACTTGCTAGTATTTAATAAGTCCAATAAAAAAAGAGAAATGGTTTATGTGGTAAAAAATTTAGTGATTTCTGGACAAAAGATCTAAGGCAGACTTTTATTCTCTCATTCCATCTCAGGAAGGATGAATTAACAGAACAGATTGATAATAACTGAGGTGTTCTAAAATAAATAATTTCAATACCTTTTCCTATGCAGAACATAAATAGAAGCCCTGATCCAACAAAAGCGGTAGCAATGAGAGTTACTCCAACAAAGCGTCTGCTCTCGGTCCACAGAATGCCATCAGCTGCATCTTCAAGAAAAAGAAGTGGGGGATAAGACATTACATAATTGCATGAGTTCCTCTCTTTTGCTTTCATTTTCACCATATTAATTTTGCTATGAGCAATTCAGATATGATAACAGCATTATAGATTGTGTCTATGGTCAGGTGCTCATACCACACTTAACCACACTTTTGTTCAAATAAAGGAAAAAAAAGATGGAACATGTTAATATTTATCTTTGTTCCCTGCATTCCATGTGATAGTGCCTTTGATTCTCATCACACATCTTGCTTGTCACCAAGGATCTATTATATCTAGTTTAGTTTCCCACCAGGACTAAAGGAAAAAGCTAATTGAGAAAGAGAACAGAAAGTCCCTTTCATCTGGTAAGGCTCTGAATGCAAAGGATAAGTGGTCTCCTTGAATCCCAAAGGCTTTTCTTGTTGAACTTGCCCATTCAAAGGATGACTTGGCTTTCTCACTCTCACCTGCCTGTTTTCAACCCTTGTCAGGCCCAAAAAGCGTGACAGCACAGGTGTTTTTAAAACTAGGTGGTGAACAGGACCAAGGAAATTATCTGACAGTAACAGTCTGATAAACAGAAATATTATTGTTTGAGTCTCCAAACTAGTTGAAAGCATATCAGGCTACAATGCAGAGAAGAATAATCAAAAGCAAAACAGTAGGGATGCAGCTCAGGTAAAAGGTCTAATGAGACACTGTATAGGTCTTGTCCATTCATGTATTTTCCTTCAATCCAGATTTTATGAGGAAAAAAATCTGTGTACAGTTAGTTAGTTACATTTAAATGTGCTCAAAGCAAAGGCTGTAATGGCAAGACCGTATCGTTCTAATTTATTTGGCAGTAATCATCAGCAAAATAGAATATTCTTGGAAGGTGAGTTTAATTTAGATGAGAGTTTTATTTCCAGTCTCTGAGCTATACATCTTTCAAATAATGAAACTTTTTTAACATTTAGACTGGATTTTCATATAACTGCAGGTCATGCAAAATTCCTGTCCTTGAATTCTGACCACATTCATGATGAACATGTCAGTATGATGGAAGTGTATATTAGTAACAAAACAACACAGGTATTTCTTTTTAGACTTTTCAAAATTAGATAGGAAAGAGAAACAAATCATGGCTGATTCAACCGGGACAAAATCACATAGCACTTTGAAGTGTATTACCATTAATGAAATTTAGAAATGTTACCCGCTATGTGTAAAATGGCAGATGTATTTTCTTGCAGCTCTTTATTCCAGAATATACAGTAAAATATCTCATGAATTCTACTTTTGATTGTAAGGGTACTTGTCACATGATACAACTGGTCCCTTCCAGTTTCATAACTTGTGTTTGCCTTATTAGTCAAATCTTCATAGTCTCCATTTTGCCATATCACTTCAGCTTCTGGGTATCCTTCAGACTGGCATGTCAACTTCCATTCATTGTGTCCTGTGCTCACCACTCTTTGGGTTATAGTTCTGTAAGGAGCTAAACAGATGGAAGAAAATGATTACTAGAAGGAAGCTAGAACAACAGCATATGCTAAATGCAAGACACCTTTTCTTTATCCGCAACCCCTGGGGTCAAGTTTCAGCTTGGATTTTGCAAATAATACCCCTGACACGAAAAGTAAATATCACTACTGTCTCTGTAACTGGAGGTACAGGATTTATTACAATTTTGATGCTGTTTAGAAAAGTGCACTAGATTTATGGTCTTTGTACTGTCAAAATGGTTTTGAAGCACCATTCCTCATTGGGGAAATAAAGGACAGAGCATGGATTCAACCTAAACAGAAACACTGAATTATACAGCTGCACAAGCACTGTTAGGCAACTCCTGTCTCTGGAGAGGTTTTTTTAACTACTAACCTGGATGTGTCTTACTTCAGGGTCTCCTCTGAAATCTTTTAGCAGTATCAGACAGTATTGCACCTCTAGTAGTAGCACACTCACCCTTAACTTTCAGGTGGATTGTCTGGTAGTCAGCTCCCCTATAGCCAATAATACAGTGGTAAGTCCCTGCATCTCTGAGCTTCACATCAGTGATCTGAAGGAGAGACTGTCCCAAGCTCAGATTCTCTTTCAACAATTTTATTCTTCCCTTAAAGTCACTGTGCTGATTTTTGAAGTCTTCCTTTCCTTTGAGAAGCACGTAAACCAGTTTCTTTAACTCATCTTTCTTTTCCCAGCTGACATTTAAATCTCCAAACTTCAACTTCCCATTCACTGGAAATGTGCATTCCATGGTCACATTGTTCCCATGTTCCACAATGTAGAGTGACTGAGGAGCTTCAACAGTGAATAAGGCTGAAAAATAAAATTTGGAAGAAAACTTAATTTTTCAATAATAAGCCTAATCTTTGAAGTCATGTCTTACCATATCCATAGAAAATTTTAAGGACCAAAGTATCTGCTCTGTTCTGAAAAGTTAAACATTTTGGCATGCACTTGTATAAGTCTGGGACAAATTGGGCTACTTACACCTTCAGACACCTTCTTTGTGCACAAACACAGTGTGATGCTTTACTAGAAATAGTTGACTGTGTGTACAGAGTCCCTCAGCTGTTGCTTTCAGAACACTGCCATTGTAACAGGCAACTATTCCTTAGTGCCTAGGAATATTATACACTAATGATTTTGGTTTTACACACAATGCTAAAGAATATGCAACAATTCCCAGGTTTTACGGTGCCAATAATACCTTTTGTGTAATGCAAAAGGTGCCTTGTCTGAAATGATGTCTATGCTGCATCACTGACAGAGATTTCAACCATATGAAAATGCATATATCTAGTTTAATGTAAAAGCATGCTGAGATCTTTTTATTTAAAACATTAAGGAAAAAAAGCCAAATGCTAGCACCTGAAGGAACACTGAGGAATTAACATTTCTGTGCTTATACATGGAAAGAAAACATAGTCAAACAGTTCTACAACTTGGCTTCTTACCATTGAGGAAATTCCAGTAGAATAAAAATATATACAAAAGCAAAGGCTGTTCCATGATGTAGATGGAACCTAAAATGAGAAAATAATAGACATAGACAAATATAAATACCTACTCATTTTCTATCTTGCGCTGTAAAATACACTTGATAGTCAGTCCACACAAAGAACTGGGCAGAAGACACTGAATTCCACTCTGGTTGAAAACAGGACAAAATTGCATCCAGTAGGTAATCAGGCAGAAGTTTCCTGCTGCATGGGTCCAAAACCCATGGGAAAACCAACTTATTTTATTTGCTTTAGACATGTGTCCTTCAATATGGCAAAACATATGCTTTATCACTACCTGTCAATTAGTAAATACGTACTCACAAATACCCAATTTTTTCCCTAACTGTAGCAGGGAGTGTTGCTCCTAGTAGGAGGAGAATGAAGGAATTTTCTATATGCATTCAGTGGAGGAAATAGAACTTGGTTCTTCTCCACCTGTTTGCCTTATTTTAACATATTGTGAACACACCCTGCTTTCTACCCCAGTCTCACAGTACTTATCATTAGGCTTGCAAAATTACACATACTGTGAAAATAATTCATGCAGTAGTTAATAACACATATTTACACAATAGTGCCTTTGTAAAACAGTGACAAAAAGAGTCAGCCTACAAGCAGAATCTATTTTATTGAGTTTCTGCTGCTTTACCTATGAACATGTAAATTATTTCAATTTTCTGTCAGAAGTTTTCCCCCTCTTTACTGACATAGGTTTTATACACCTATACAACACTTTCACATTTTAAAATGTTTATTAATGTCAATTCATACACTTAACCTTTGCACACCCACTGATTTTGATAAGTGTGTATTTTAAGTCAGAACAATACCAGTATCCAGCACTGCCATAACTTTACAAATTACTGCCAAGAAAAATTCAAACTCACTGTAATGGAAATCTTTCATGAATATGGAAAACTGTAGGATTTTATCTAAATAAAGTCCTAATTTTAGATACCCAGACAGCTACAAAAATAAGGAAAGATTGGCTTCAACTGTTTTCTAGTGGTAGTTTCAGAATTTGCATAAGAAATTAGACAACTGCATGCTCATCACATTTCCTAACCAATGAAATTCTATCTGGACCATGACTCTTAGCCATAACCATTTTTGATAAGATAGTTGATCTTCTTTCTCTGATTGTCAACTTTAAGATGATAATAAGGTGACAATATTGTCCTGAAACATAAGACACCTGTGCTTTTACAGTGTTGTGGCTTAAGGGAATTAGAGTCCTCATAAGAATTTGATTCAAGCTACTTCTTTTCCTCTCACTGCTGCTGTCTGATCCCAATAGCAAGTTTGCAGAAGGCAAAACATAAGGAGCTGAGAAAGGGACTCTATCAACACATTTTAGGCAGACATGAGCAATTACAAAAGCATGTAATAAAGCAAAAATTCAAAGAAGATTCTCAGGGTGAAAGATCCAATTCATCAATAAATCTTAGGCTTTGTAGTGTGGTTAGGTACCAAATTCATTCCTAAGCCATAAGTGATGTCCTTGAAAGCACTAGCAAACTGCTCCCTAATTCTATGGGTTCCCAAGAGTTTCTGGGAGTTTACACTGGAGTTTACACAAGAGCTTACACTGGAATTCCTCCGTCATGATGCCAGTGCTTGAGTCACAAGCACTCCAGACCACCAACAAAGCTCCAAAGTAAAGCTTCTCATACAAGATAGAGGCATACTGATCTCGCAGGCATGCCATGGTCACACTTACGCTGGAGACAAGCCTGCAGAAGACTAAGTCACTGGTATTGGGTGTTGGTGTGCACTCCACGTGTTGGAATGACCAAAGCTGTAGCACACTCAGACCCAAAATACTTTCTACTTTTTTTTTCCTTTTTCAAGTAGAGGCTGTAGACTGCAAAGAACAAAGTAGACTTCTCAAAACAGTAGACTGCTTGTAACAAACATCATGTGCACTACATTCATGATACCCATATCCACACATGCAACCTAAATCCACCTTTTTGTCAGGAAATCTGAATGCTGGCATGAACTTCAGGAGAGGTGTTTTGATTAGCTCATGGAAGACATATGACAGGTTAGCTTTTATGGTTCTAAGACCCATGTTTATGTCCTGCAATTGCTGAAATTTAATTATTGTGCTTTCTTTCACTGTAGAGGAAAACAAGCCTTACAAGACAAAAAAGAAGTATGACTATTACTTACAAATTTCCTCAAGACTGAGAAAGTCTGCTGCTGTACTCAATTTTTCACTTTCAGAGAGAAAAAAAGTAGGTCCAGGTAAAATCCATATGCGCATGAAAAAACCCTCACTGCAATAACCGTTACAGAACCTTCTACAGAACAATGCTGAGGCAGAAGGATCCTCTGACCGGATGGGTTGAAGCAGTTTGAAACCTTGATGCCAATCAAAGCTCTCTGCCAAAGCTATCAGCTTGCTAATTTTCTTACAGAATCTACCACAATTCCCCTTCTCTCCTCCTGGAGCTTCCGACAACTATGGCAAAGAATTTGATAAAAGCAAAATGTATTCACTGTGCAAAATGCTCTTCAGTATTGCTGCTGTATGTTTCCTTCACAATCAAGTGAAGAAGACAGGAAAAACAGAACTACTAGTCAAAAGACTTAATGTGAGAGAACTTAAATGTTGATGTAACTCCACCTACTTCTTTAAGAAACTTCCCCATTATTGGAAAATTCCCCACTAGGGAAAATTCTATATTGCCAACAGTGATTCACTGTAACCAGAGACAGTACTGCTAGGAAAATTAGTACCTAAAATACAGTATTAATCTCAAGCAGTGGCAAACAGCTGCTAACAATGACTAGAAATTTCTACACAATTTACTCATGTCTTTAAAGGTCATAGGGATAAGAATAATGTAGGACTAACAGGAATATTGGGAAGAGCATTTGCCTACTCTCCTCTGGTGAGGGCAGATACTCTCTCCCCAAGATTTGAGCACAGTGAAGGCCCCTTGCCTTGCTACTGTGTAGTGAAAGGAAAGTTGTTAAGCCTATGCACCAGCTTAGCAAAAAGCAGGGAGCACTGTCTTTTTAATTATCTTGGTTCTAGAAGTCATTTGAAAATATAGAAAAATCCCAGATTTTAGAAGCCAAAGGAGGAACTCACATTACCTTGTGGACCGCAGTTGGAGAACCAGGTGCACAAAATACAACTTCAAACTTATGCTTCAGTGTAAGCTCACTCTCTTAGATTCTCCTTGCACATCTCAAAAAAGGGTTGAGGTTCTCAGAAGAGTTAAAATACTGTGAAATGACTGCTTTAAAGTGTTTTCTTCTTTACGCTTGACAGCCCACTCACTGTATCTGTCATGGAAGCGAGAAAACGTAATACACAAAACTGGTTAGAGTTAACCTTTTTAACTGATGTGTGAGATGAACATGGAAACAGTGGTATATAAAATAGCTCAATGTAACATTTAGGTTCTCACAACCTGAAACTACCTTAGGAGGTTGAGGGGGTGGATTTCCGCAATAGGTGAGACCAATGAATATTAATTTCCACTGTTTTTTTGTGTGTGTGTGTGCTTAAAAATAGGCTTCATTATATTGTCTCAGAAAAAAACCATGCAACAAAGAGACAAGGAAACCCATTTGTAAAATACTGTGAGACCACAGAAGCCGCTAATGTAGCTACCTTTCAATGTCGGGAATTTAGTTTCTGCTTTTTCTTTACTTGCCTTGAGGTCATGGGGTTGCTTTTTCCACTTAAGTGTTTAGTAGTAAATAAAAGACTGGGGCAGATGGGGTTTTTGTTCGGTCATTTTTGTTACTTTAATTTTGCTTCATACGCACACACTCTTATATACATACACACATCTACATGCACACAAACACATTTTACAGCACCCTTCTGTACAGCAGCTGGCGAGGTTTGTCTGGTTTTGGTTTTTTGGTTTTTTTTTTACTTGTTCTGCAACAAGTTTCCCAGAGAGCTACCTCAGTCCTGCCTGTCACCAGGCATTCCCAAGCAAAGCAAATGCTTTCGGGGAGAACGTGCGGGGGAAGGGTCCGGCGGCCGTGGACGCCTCACGGGGGGATGCGCTCCGTGCAGTACCGGGATAGGGCTCCCACTGCCGACAGCCCTGCGATTCCCTGAGCTGCGGGCCGGCTTCTCGCTACCTGGCGGCTCCTCCCTACCTGGCGGCTCCTCCAATGTGGCGGCTCCTCCAATGTGGCGGCTCCCTCGGCCCAGCCTCCGGTGTGTCACACCCCGGCCCCGAGCCGGGTCTTCTCTGGCCGCCCCCGCTGCGAGTTCACCGCCGGCTGCTGCCCTTCGCGGAAAGCCGTCCCGAAAAAACCCGACGCTGTGTCCTAAACCTCGCTTCAGCCGGGGCGGGACACGGAGTGCGGGCGATTTGTTCATTCCTGAGAGACGGGGATTGTAGAAAACAAAACCAAAAGCAGCACGGACACCGTCTCCCGGCTTGTTCCCTTCCTTTCCCTAATCGGGAAGAGACGTACTGGGAGCGAGCCGCATGGCTCATCGGTCAGGCACCTGGCTGCGTGCTTTTGGTTTTTCTTTCTTTCTTTTTAACATGGTGAAATCATATTGTTCACTTCACAAATGGATGGCTTGCTACTTAGGTGGTGGATGACTGTGTCAAATGATGGGAATGTGGCTGATGACACAGCATCCGGGATATCCGTAAAGTCCGGGAGCTATTGTCCTGCTTCTCCAGGGACAAAGAAGCAATTCAACTTTATTTAAATAGCTCTGTTCCCGTACACCTAAAGATGCTGCTGGGGGATAAAACTCCAGTTTAATAACCTGATAATACAATTTGGGAATATAGTGTGGTATAGGGTTTCTTTTCTGAGATAATACTTCTTATGTTATAATCCTAGTAAGGTCTCTGCCATAACTTTTCCCAAAGAAAGCAACCCTGAAATAAGAATATTGCTCAGGACATTACCAAAAAACCAAGGAGCCATTGTGAGAAGTTTACTTGTGAGTATATTTACAGGGTGGAATATAAAGCAAATACAAATTTGTAACCCATGGCAGCATACAAGTGGCAGAGGTGTGTACTGAAGGAGGGGAAGGACGTCCAAACTCTTACACTTTCTATGCCCTAAGTATCAGGAAGGACATCCAAATCCCCCTGGTCTTCATGCCCTAAGTATCAGGTACTGCCACCTGCAATATGTAATTAATGGTTTTATGGGCCACAAGTGAGCCAGTGGTTGAGAAGCCACTGGAATCCCTACCTTGAAATCGTCAGGTTTTTTGTTGATATAGACAATGCTGTCGAGGTGTTTGACAAAGATTGGTTTGATTGGGTTCAAATCTTCCAAACCATATAACATGAGCCCCTCAGAGAGAAGGATGTGGAATGTTAGGTAATGCAATACAAGCTCCTCTGCACCTAGAGAGACAATGGGGTCCTGCTGCCCCAGCTGCTCCCAGGCCTTCACAGGGGATATCAGCACAACAGAGACCCCTCTCCACAAGTGCAGAGAAGCACAGAAGCCTCAAGGCAGGTGGGAACCCAGATAATGGACTCAGAGGAAGCTCATATTTTAATAAGCTTCAAGTTTTTGAGCAATAAACATGACATTTGTAAATGGTAAATTTACTTACAAAATTACTTCTAATACATAAATTTACAAAACAGTCACAAACCCAGACAAAACAGTCACAAACCAGACTGAGAAGTTTCTTTACGGTAACAACAAACAATTACTGCAAAAACATTCCCAGAATAAAGAGGAAGCTTCTAGTTTATGATAAATGCTTTAGTTAAGAAGATTAGATAACATGGGGACTTCCCCTGTAGCAAACAAAAAATGCTCTGTCAAAGCTAAAGGTTTATCTTTGTCCTGTGTAGGTGCTTGGATTTTCAAAGTTTATGTCTAAATATATTCACACATTTCCTATTTTCAGAAGTTGAATAGTAAAACAAACCATAAAAATCTTCAAGGAAGCAATCACCTTTTTTTTTTTTAATTAACATAGGATATTAGAAATCTGGTTTGTTTTGCTGAACACTTATTTCTAAAATAAAAGTTATTGTCACAAGTTAAAAAAATAATTATCATGGGGTTAAAAATGTCTTACAGTCATTTGTGTTTACAGTCAATAGACTTCTAGCATAATCAAGTGAATATGCTATGGTAAAACAAGGAAATTGGCTTGCTAAATACTATGAGTTTAGGCCATTGATCTTCATTTCTTTCAAACTATTTAATTGTTTTGATTGTTAGATTTTGGAATTTAATTTTGTAGATAATCTTTTCAGTTCAATGGAATCAACCAGGCAAACTGATACAGGTGTAACCTATTTTCCATATTTTAATTCTACAGGCTATCTCTAGCATGATATTCTCTCTTCTTAATATGGATTTTGAAACTGAAGTAGATAATGAATTGTCTTATACCTAAATCATTACGGTAAAATTCAAACTGATGCATCCAAGTGTACAACATATAAAGATAAGGGGAAGAGTGCTTGTTTTCTTTCAAACATTTCTTCTGGTTCTTATTCTATGTTCCTTTTTCTTTCTCGTAATGTAAAAATTACATTTAACTTATCCGATAAACACCTGCATTGGCACAAATATTATTATTATTTCCATTTTCAGTTTACTCAACTTTTTTGGTTAAGTGCCACATTCAAAATTTTCAAGACTTATTTATTTTTGGACCAACTTTTGTGGAGAAAATACATCTTATAATTTAAGTATTTTCTGAAAGGATGGCAAGAGCAAAGGAGACATGGCTGCCAGCTTGGCATTAGTACAAAATGTCTTTATGACTGCACATGGGTCTTCTGTAACGGCAGCACTACCTACACTTTCTGAAGTAATGAAATACTGCTTGCCTTCAGAAATGCCAGCAATTTAACAGCACCATGTGCACAGCAATATGTGATGCTGTCTGATTTTTTTCTGTAATCTCCATATTGTGACCTGACTGACTGGGAACTGGAAGAGGACAGGCAATGTTCTGCAGTGTGGTGCCATGAATATTGACAACATAAGTGAAACCAGTAACTCAGTTCATGTCTGGAGCAGCAAGTGGGTATCAGCAAGGAGAGACAAGACCTGCAGCCCCTGTTGTAGATGGGCTCCTCCCCAGTGTCTGCAGTCTGGTGTGGCTCAAACCTATCTCCCTTCTACAAGCATAAACCACATGCCCTGTCGAAACTAGTCTCCATTCTCCTATGCTGCTTCTTAAGTCCTTAATTCTTTCTGAAGAAACTAGACCCATTTCCCTAGCAATTAGCCACAGTTCCTGCCCCTTCACTCCCCCTTCTCTAT